AGAAGAGAAAGAGACCCAATCTGGAACAAATCCTGTTCCATGGTCTGCTGGACAAACACAATGAATAAAGATCAGGTCCACACAGCATCACACTGATCATGACACAAACCAACCTGGAGGCTCCACTTCCAGCTGGGAAAGCTCAGGGTTTCTGCTCGTTTTCCGCCTTTCCATTAGCTTTGGGACAAAGATTCCAGTTCCTGGATTGTTTCTTCTTCTACTACGATCCCTAAATGTCCACCATATATCTCCCCAGATAACACAAAGTTACAGAGGTAGCGTGTGCTCTGCGGAGACAGTAAAACTCTGCATAACAAAATAAATCGATAGAATAGAGAAAACGGCATTACAGCAAAATACACGGTAAATTACGTAGTGAAATCTATGCAATGAAATCGTAAACATGTCGATTGAAAAACAAAGAACAATGCTCGTGTAAGGCGGCTGAGGGGAACGACTGAAAGTTCCATCACTGAATGAATCGGGAAAACATCTTAATTCAACAGATTTCATATACACAATATATACGCTATTGTTCTATCCAACGCGTACTTGACGCACTGGCCGGGAATCGAACCCGGGTCAACTGCTTGGCAAGCAGCTATGCTCTCCACAATACCACCAATGCCTCTCCAGCAGCCTTAACGGCACATATCGTCACAACAATAATACAATAATTATTTTACACAAGTTGACATAAGTCTGCATTGGTGCTATTCCCCATCATGGACCAATGCCTACGTTGTTCAGAAGAATGGAAGACAAATGAGCAACAAGTGATGTGATTACTGTAAAACCTCTTTGCACCATCTAAGACACCGAGGGATTGTGAACAGAGACTGTCAATCCTAACTGTAGGCCTTCAGTTACACTGGTCCCTGAACAAGCTCCAGTCATTTCAGAAGACACAACATCTGTTACAGTTCAGTTTGAAAAGATAGAAATCTCTGATGTACACTGATATTGACAGAAATAAATTATGTGCGTTTTTAAACAGGAGAAGGAAACTGAATTCTTCTGAAGCAGTTTAACACTGAGTTTTTATTGAGTTTTTCTTTTGTTCAGTGACAAGGTTGCTAGCATAAACACACGCAGTGCTAATGTGCCTCAGTGACAGAGGTGATGGCAACCATCTGCCAGGCGTGAATTCTAATCTTATCCTCCCCACCAACCAGCTGAGAACAGAAGAAGCATTTTAGAAGACAGCTGAAGTCTGATAAAGTAACAGGAATGAGAAAAAGGCTGTCAGCCGAAAAAAGTTTGTGCTTTTTCCCTTTGGTAAGGCCTTTTTGGGCATAAGACAACAACAACATACAAATCAGGTGTGTCGAACTCACCCATAAGATTCTCTGTGGCGCAATCGGTCAGTGCGTTCGGCTGTTAACCGAAAGGTTGGTGGTTCAAGCCCACCCAGGGACGTCTCCCTTTATGCACATAAGCAGCAAGTAAATGCAAAGCTATTTCCATGTCAAATTGGGGCCTTTAAACTAAAGT